TCTGTGAAGCTTAATTATCCTAGCCCAATTTGATAGATGTGGTAGCATTATTATAGTTGAATTATAAGAGCAGATTGTGAAGTTAGTAGAGCCCATCCCTGAATGTCTTTTCCCATTAACTATCTCCCTACGTTTGGGACATTTGCTGGACCTCTGCCTTTCACAGTCATAGCTAGTTTCTTGTGGTCAATGGGCAATATTAAGTTTTAGCTGTGGGGAATTAGTTTTTTGGCCCAAGTCTAATAAATTGTCTCAATAGTTGAACATTCATGCCTGAGAAATAGAAATATACCTATTTCTAAGAATACTGCTCATTTATGGTTTTATAAAATAACTAGAGGCTCAATGCACGAAATTCATGCAAGGGTAGGCCTTCCTTCTTCCGGCTGCCAGCTTCGTAGCCCCAGCCCCTACCCACATCAGCATTGGCCTGGTGCTGCACATGTCCACTGCCACACAATCCCGGTTCCCAGTTTTGTGGAGCCCCCTGTGGAGGGTGAACTGGGCCTCCCTCTGTGGGGCCATCATGGGGCAATGGCAGGGCCCTCCAACCAGTCGCATCGCACCTGCCTGGGCTGGCCTGGTGCCAGTGTGTGTCGTTTTGCTGTTCATTTGATTTGCATATTATGCTTTTATTATATAGATATGTAGAAGTCTTTTAGTATTGTGCCTTTTGTAATCAGTAGTTTCTAAATAGGTGTAAAGTGTATGTTATTTTCTTTTAATACTTTTTGTGTCCCTTGTTTATGTAGGAGGAAAGTTACTTCCTTATTCATTATGGAATTCTTTAAGCTAGGCTGTCCTTCAGATTTCATATTCAAACTTAGCTAGTTCAGCAATAAGAGCAATACCTAGTTGCAGCTAGATGTGTTTAGGATGTACTTTATATGCAGAAAGAATATTTTACTGGGTTTATTTTAATAGGAAGTAAAATAACATTTTGATTAAAAAAAAATAGCAAATCTTTTTAAGGCCAAAGCCACAAGAGGAACTCATAATTATATTTAGGAACTTGTTATTAGGTAATCAACTTTTAATTATATAAGGACAGTTATCCAGATAAAAGTCTAGTGTATTGCAAGAAGGCAGTTCACCGGGAATTTAATACTGTATTCTCACCCTCTTGAAGGTAATCCTAATGTGTTTGTTTTGGGGTATCTTTCTAACATCTCACACCTGTATTATATTCAGACATGGCAATTGTGTATCCCAGTAAGAACCACAGCAGCAGTAGTGGCTCAGTGCCGGGGCACTGCTTGTGGTTCTGCTATGTCCTGATCTGCACTAGGTGGGTCAAGATGAGATAATTTTTCTGCTTCCATTCTCAGAACAATTAGGTTCATATTTAAATTGGCTATGATTGCGTGCTACATTCTCTTAACTCAAGGACAAGGAATTTATTTTAGGGAAGAAAAATTCCTTTTAGCCGAGCAAACTATCATAGCTTTATACTTTCCTAAACTCCCTTTATCTGGACCTCTTCTCATTGTCTCATCTCTGTGTTGGGACAGTAAGAACTGCAGTTGATTAAGGAGGTAGTGGCAGTAGTTCCCCTTTCTTTTTTATTTACTCCTTTCTCTTTTCTCATTTAGATTATCTTCATTTCTCTTCTTTTCTCCTCTGCTTTAGTACTCTTTTTTTTTTAATTTCTTTATTGATTCAGGTATCACCTATTTGTCCTCAACCCCTCCTTCCAATCTAGTACTCTTTTTCTGTTCATATCTTTTTGCACCCTTTTTGTGTGTGTGTGTGTGTGTGTGTGTGTGTGTGTGTGTGTGTGTGTGTGTATGTTGATAGAAGAAAGGCACCCTCCATGTCCTTGTCTCTCACTAATCTATTTTAAAAAATATATATTTTATTGATTTTTCACAGAGGAAGAGAGAGGGATAGAGAGTTAGAAACATCAATGAAAGAGAATCATTGATCAGCTGCCTCAGCACACCCCCTACTGGGGATGTGCCCACAACCAAGGTACATGCCCTTGCCCGGAATCGAACCAGGGACCTTTCAGTCCGCAGGCCGACGCTCTATCACTGAGCCAAACCGGTCCCGGCTCACTAATCTATTGAGATCTAAAATGCTAACTAAGCCGAAACCGGTTTGGCTCAATGGATAGAGCGTCGGCTTGGGGACTGGAGGACCCGGGTTCGATTCCGGTCAAGGGCATGTACCTTGGTTGCGGGCATATCCCCAGTAGGGGGTGTGCAAGAGGCAGCTGGTCGATGACTCTCTCTCATCGATGTTTCTAACTCTCTATCTCTCTCCCTTCCTCTCTGTACAAAAATCAATAAAATATATTTAAAAATAAATAAATAAATAAATAAATAATGGTTAGCATTAAAAAAAAAAAAAAATAAATAAAATGCTAACTAATACTTCTCTAAGCAACATTTAGCCATAAGTGGGATTTGGAAATTTACCAAAATGGAAAAAATTGAGTTTACTTTTTTATTTGTGAAGGCTGGGGGGGGGGTGGTAGAAGGAAGCATAAATAATGACTTTATTTTGCAGTATAGGGGGACACATCTAAGGAGAAATGAATGGCTAGCAGAGATTTGTAAATAGGATTTGTAAATAGAGAGATGAGGTTATTGGTATAACATTGGAGATAAGGTGGCACTTGAAAACATGAATATGAATGAGGTTACCCCCTGAGAGTGTAGTGAGAAGAAAAGACAGCCCTATGGCTTCTCTTGCACACTGGGAAGTGGATCATGCAAATAAAACTCAAATGAGGGCTATACATAGAAGTAAAAGTGTATTCATCATTTTTGAATGATTCACTACTATGTAAAATTAAGCATTAACTATATAGCCTTGGAAATTTTAGTTTAAATATTACTCACTTGCATATTGATGTGTTTAAACATAAGCTAGAAGTTTTCATGCTTCCCTGTAAGAGATTAAAATATATCTGTGGAAGAATGTAAGCTCTATAGCTTGAGTATTGGGGGACATATCCTCCTTACCTCTGATATCTTGTTTATTTTTTTCTCTTTCTTTTTTCATTTAAACAGTGTATCACATGGACAACCATTGTGATTGTTAACATTGCTACAGTCCTGAAATGCTAGTTTGCTGTGCCATTCTGTCTTAGGTTCTGCCTCATCAATCACCAAATCCTTTGAATTGAAGCCTTGCAGGACTGTTTCAATGTGAAACACTTTCCAGACGACAAAATGAAAGGAAGGAGTCTAGTACTACTTACTGTCCTGCTTGGTTATAACAGTTCATAGGCATAGTCCTATAAATTACTATTAGCTTAAAGGCAACAGTAAACTGTCTTATTGTTTAAAATTCCCATCAGTCTGATTTTCCATATGCAGAGATCAAATGGAAGCAATAGCAAAGAACTGTGGGTTTAAAAAAAAAAATCTCATATTAACATTTACCCATTTATTGACCTCCTTTGCAATATATCTCTTTGTGCCTTTCTCCCTGCAAAGTATCTCTCTGTGCCTTTCTCCCATTGTAACATCTCCCTCTGATTCTACTTGTTGCTCCATGGACTTAACGGTGATTGATTACATTGGGCCCACCAAGATAATCTTTAATAATCTCCCCCTTTTATTTATTTTTTTAAAGAGAATTTTTTTTTTAATTGAGTTTTAAAGAGAGGGGGAGGGAGAGAGACAGGGAGAAACATTGATCAGCTGCCTCCTACACACCCTTTCCTGGGAATCAAGCAGGCAACCCAGGCATCTGCCCTGACCAGAATCTAACTGCAACCTTTTGGTGCACAGGACAAGCCCTACCAACTGGGCCACCCTGGCCAGAGCTAATCTCTTACTTTTAAAAGTTGACCAATTTAGTAACCTTAATTCCATCTGCAACCTCAATTCCTCCTTTACAATTTTTTTAAATTAATTTTGTTGTTATTAATCTTCATCCAAGGATATTTTTCTATTGTTTCGTAGTGCGAGTGGAAGCGAACAGGAAGGACAGAGAGAAATATCAATATGAGAGAGACACATTGATTGATTGCCTCCCACATGCACCCCACTCAAGGCTGCAACCGAGTATATCTCCTTGACTGGAATTGAACCCAGGACCCTTTAGTCTGAGAGCCGATGCTCTATCCACTAAGCCAAAATAGCTAGAGCTGTTTATTTTTTTAAAAATATACTTTATTGATTTTTTTTTTTTTACAGAGAGGAAGGGAGAGGGATAGAGCGTTAGAAACATGGATGAGATAGAAACATCTATCAGCTACCTCCTGCACACCCCTCACAGGGGGATGTGCCCTCAACCAAGGTACAATGCCCTTGACCGGAATCGAACCTGGGACCTTTCAGTCCACAGACCGACACTCTATCCACTGAGCCAAACTGGTTTCAGCTAGAGCTGTTTTAATTTTAGAGAGAGAGGAAGGGAAAAGGATAGAGAGGGAAAAACATCAGAGAGAAAAGCATCAGTTGTCTGCTCCTGCACGACCCCTAATGGGGTTGAACCCACAACCTGGGCCATGTGCCCAGGAATTGAATCCATAACCTCTTGGTTCATGGGTTGACTGAGTCACCCTTGCTAGGTTCAATTCCCTTTTGCCATGTGACCTAACATAGTTACAGGTTCCAGGGATTAAGGTATGGATCTCTTTGGGGGGACCATTTTTCTGCCTACACATGTATGTTTAGGTTCTAAAGTTGTGTAAGGCAGCTGGGACCAGGTGTAGATGAATCCAGAGTGGAGGTCCTAACTAATGCTGAGGATTATGAATAGGACCAAAAGTTGGGTTTGAGCTAAAAACCAAATATTCAGCAGTAATTGTACATGTTTGTAAACTCTCTTACTGGCATAAAGTATATGTAGCAGATTTGGTGTTCAAGAGAGAATTAGAAGGAGGTAACTTATTTTTAGTTACATCATGGTAGGAAAATTATTACAATATTAAAATAGATTGTATTTGTTTATGTCAGCCTTCAGAAGGAAATGTTCTTGATTTAATCAACAATTTTAGAGAAGCTGTGGATTTAATTTTAATTTTTATATTTTTATTACAGATATTTACTACCCTTAGATGCCACTCCTGATATGGAGAAGATTGAAGAACAGTTTGCTAATCTGAACATTGTTAAACGTTCTTCAGGAACTGAAGAGCCTACTTATCTGCTTGACATAGACACATCCAAGACTGTACCAGCAGAAAAAGGAACCTTGGTTGCTGTTTTATGTTCTAATGGGTTAATCAGAATATATGATAAAGAAAGGTTAAACATAGTACGAGAATTTGGTGGAAATCCTGGACATCTTAATGGCGTTAAATTTGCAAATTCTTGTGACATTGTATATTCATCGTGTACCGATAGCACAGTAAAAGGTTGGGATGCTCGATTAGCCAGTGAAAAGCCTGTCCAGCTTTTCAAGGGTTATGCTTCCAATATTTTTATCAGTTTTGATATCAGCTGTAATGATCATGTCATTTGTGCTGGTACAGAAAAAGTTGATGATGATGCATTGATGGTATTTTGGGATGCAAGAATTAATTCTCAAGATTTGTCTACTACTAAAGACCCACTTGGTGCATACTCGGAAACACATAGTGATGATATCACTCAAGTATGTTTCCATCCCAGCAATCCCAACATGGTAGTCTCTGGTTCTACAGATGGCCTGGTAAATGTATTTGATATTAGTGCCGATAACGAAGAAGATGCGCTGGTTACGACTTGTAACTCAGTTTCTTCAGTTAGCTATATTGGTTGGTCTGGGAAAGATTATAAACAGATATACTGCATGACACACGATGAAGGGTTTTGTTGGTGGGATCTTAATCATCTGGATACTGATGAATCAATTACACGTTTGAACGTCCAGGATGTCAGAGAAGTCATTAATCTGAAAGGAAGTGTTTTGGACTATTTGATTGGTGGCCTATATCATGAAAAGATGGACAAATTATTTATTGTTGGAGGAACAAACACAGGAATTATTCATTTAATGAGCTGTACTACATCAGGATTGAGCCACGTGACCAGCCTTCAGGGAGGGCATGCTGCTACAGTCCGTTCGTTCTTTTGGGATATGCAGGATGATTCTTTGCTGACTGGAGGAGAAGATGCACAGTTGTTACTTTGGAAACCAGGAGCAATAGAGAAGAAATTTACAAAGAAAGACAACATGAAAATAGCATCCTCTGTGTACCAGCGAGTTCGAACTCACAGTAACGACTCTTACAAGAGAAGGAAAAAGCAGTGATACTACATTGAGAGTTTACCTGTTAGACTTTATAGTTGCAAATAATTATTTTTGTGTACTACCTGTGGGAACATGTTTAAAGTTCATATGTAAAAACAAGCCAGTTAGCAAATAGTCTTGGAAAAATGTTGAGAATGGTTTAAGTCAATATTCACATATTCTAAAATTATTTTTTTAAGGCACCAGTTGACTATATAATCAGTGAATTGAAAGTAAAATTACTTTCTTCATTTCTAAAACCCATCTGTTGAGTTAGTAAATGTTGGGTTTTAAAAAGCAGCTTTGATAAGGATTTTTTAGAAGTAGATGGCTGGTGTGACTTTAAAAAACAGGTAGTTTAGGCTATGTTTTTTTAAGCTCAATTTTTTTACATTTTAAATAATCTTTATTATTTACAAAACAAATGAGACCTTCATTTGAGTAGCTCCTATTTGACTAATACACAAAGGTTACCTTGGAGTATTTAAATATAAATATTCTAATGAGTCTAAATAGAAATAAAATGATTTGATATCTATTTAATGAAAATGCTTAGTAAATATGTGCACCTGTACTTAAATATTGTAGGTTAAACAGTGACATCATACTGATGAAAAGGAAATTATTTTGTAAAATTCATTTTGAGATTCAAAGTGAATCTATAAAAAAGTATGATAGCAGAATGGCTTTTTATTTTAAAATACCATAATATTTTGTGATAAAATTTTTTCCATAGTGTTTTATTCATAATTTTAAACAGGAATTTTTGTTTGCTGATGATGAAAGAATCTTAATTATAAAGTTAATTTTTATAACGGTTTGCTCTTTCTTATGCTTAATTAAAAATAAAATATTTTAGCTGAAACCGGTTTGGCTCAGTGGATAGAGTGTCGGCCTGCGGACTGAAGGGTCCCAGGTTCAATTGTGGTCAAGGGCATGTACCTTGGTTGTGGGCACATCCCCAATGGGGGATGTGCAGGAGGCAGCTGATCGATGTTTCTGGCTTTCTATCCCTCTCCCTTTCTCTGTAAAAAAATCAAAATATATATAAAAAATAAAATAAAATATTTTAGGTTAAATTATTTGCAACAGTATTTTAAAAATATTTTACCTTGCTCTAGCCCGTTTGGCTCAGTGGATAGAGGGTCGGCCTGCAGACTGAAGGGTCCCAGGTTTGATTCCAGTCAAGAGCATGTACCTGGGTTGCGGGTACATCTCCAGTAGGAGGTGTACAGGAGGCAGCTGGTCGATGTTTCTCTCTCATCAATGTTTCTGGCGCTCTCTCCTCCCTTCCTCTCTGTAAAAAAATCAATTATATATATATATATATATATATATATATATATATATATATATATATATAATAATTATTTTTTTTAATTTTATCTTTTGCATTAGTAATATTGTCATAAAAAATACAAATGTTGCCTGGCTCATTGGTTGAGTGTTGACCTATGGAGGTCGTGGTTCAATTCCTGATCCGGGCACATGCCTGGTTATAGGCTCCATCCCCAGTGTGGGGCATTCAGGAGCAGCCGATCAATGAATCTCTCATTATTGATGTTTCTCTCCCTCTCCCTTCCTCTCTGAAATCAATAAAAATATATTAAAAAACAAATGTTATTTTAGAACCTTTTAAATTTCTCTTTAAATGTTAATAATTACTTCCTTCCCCTGACTGCCAGCACTGGCTTCTCTCTGGCACCCTGGACACAGGCTTTCCCCACAGCCCTGGCTTCTTTCAGAAGGATGTCCAATCTAATTAGCATATTATACTTTAACTAGAGGCCTGTGCATGAAATTTGTGCATAAGGGGGTGGGGATGCCCCTCAGCCCAGCCTGCACCCTCTCTAATCTGGGACCACTTGGGGGCAGTTAGATATCCCTCTCACAATCCAGGACTGCTGGCTCCCAACTGCTCGCCTTCTTGTTTTCCTGATTGCCCCTAACTGCTTCTGCCTGCCAGTCTGATCACCCATAGCCACTCTCTCAGTGGTAATACTTTTATTATAGGTTTTGAAACATCCTTTACCAAGTGAACATTTCCTATTTACTCTCAAATTCAGAAACTGAATTTATTTGGACTAAATTTTTATCACAGTATTCATTGCTCATCAAACTCATTGGCTGAGCTGGAGATTGGGATTTTGGGAGGTATTTGCTTTTCCACTCTATAATTCTGTGACTGGTCAAAGTGTCCTCAAGTATGAAGTTAAAAATATTGCAGGCATACAAGATTTCACAGTTTTTATGCAGCTTTAAAAGACATATTATTGATTCAGAGAGAAACATCAATGATGTGAGAGAATCATTGACCAGTTGCTTCCTGAATGCCCCACACTGGGGGACAAGCCTGCAACTCCAGGCATGTGCAGAGCATTATTGGGCATTATGTTACAGAATTGGAGATAACCTGGATATCCATGCATGGGAGATAGGTTAGGTAAAAATGTGGCGGATGTACACAATTCAGTATTTTGCAGTAGTTACTTAAAAGCCACAAAGGTCCATTTTAAACATGGTTTGATCATGAAAATACAGTGCCCAATGAAAACAGAAGCAATATATATGTGGGGAAAGCCATTTATATAAATTTAAAATATACAAAAATTTGTTTTGCAAGAATGCAATTATACATATTAATCACCATAGAGTTGTTGCCTGGTATGGGGGAAGAAGGCAATAGAAATGGGTTTAGAAATAAAAGGATGAGAGAGGGAGGAAAGAGAAGACATGACAAACATTTCAATAAGAAAAAGTTTTGATAGAGCACATGGGTTCATGAGAACTAATGATAGAAACATGCAAAGGAAAAGGGGGTGGGGGTAATTTTAACTCCAAGGGGTAGAGAATTGTATAAGAAATGTAAGCATAGTATATATTTTATCTAACGTAAAACTATATTGCAAGGAGAGAAAGGAACGGTTGTGCAAATGCTTAATTTTTGTTTTCCATAGTAGAAAGTCAGCATTCTTTCTATGGATAAATCAAGAACATAGCAATATAAGCATGTTATTTAAAAGCATCTAAGTAAAAAAAATAAAAGCATCTTAAGTAAATCACCTGGCAAAACAGCTAAGAGTTCAAAGTGATCCCCCACCCCACTCCCTACCAGAAGATAGAAAGGCAGAAGAGGAGGAGGACGGGGGACTGCTGTTTTTATTGTTCTTGGACCTTTTGGTAGAATACAAACCTGTGGTAGAATATCAGGATACTTTGGCTGCAAATAATAGCTCAATTCAAATTAACCAAATGAGGACCATATTACCTCACAGAAGTTAGGAAGCGTTTCTAGGGTTTGATTGTTAACAAGAATGCAAATTCTTGCCAGTTTTCTGCTCTGCCAGTCTTGTCAGCTTCAAGATGACTGCAATCAGCCAGTGATCATATTCGCTCTCACCAAAGTCCAATGGAAAAGGGACTGTTCCTTTGCCTCTGACTCTGCCTAAAATAGTCATGAGCAAGAAAAATGTGATCTCTACCAACTGTCCCAATCATGATTCACTGCCCGTGGGGCTGAAAATGACATATGCTTCCCTGGAGCACACGGGTTCAGAGAAGGGTACAAAAAGTAGGTTGGGTTGATGAATAGTTGTTCTACAGGTACTACTTGATTTCAGATATATATATATATATATTACTTCAAAATATATTTCATTTTGCCTGGCCGGCGTGGCTCAGTGGTTGAGCATTGACCTATAAACCAGGAGGTCACAATCAGGACACATGCCCGAGTCCCAGGTTGTGGGCTCGCCCCAAAGGGGAGCTTGCAGGAGGCAGCCAATCAGTGATTCTCTCATCATTGATATTTCTTCCTCCTTCCTCTTTGAAATCAATAAAAATATATTTTTTAAAGTGTAAATATGGAAAAAAAGATTTTCATTTTAATGTTGAATCAATAAGATATTTGTGAGGTAATAATTAACTTATATTATTTTACTTTAATCAGTGTGCAAACTATTGTACCTTTATTGGAATATTATTTAGAGGGAAGGTAGACATTGATAAAAATTAAAAGGAGACACTGAAAAATGTGTCCAATGACTTCTTTTGGCTAATTTTATGTAATCTGCCACTGCAATCAGCAATGTCATATTGAACCAATTTACTATTAAATTACTGACCCATTAGCAAATCCATCTCTCAGATCCGCAACCAACTCCCACTTATCTAGCTTTCAGATTACTTAAACATTATGTCTTCTACACTTTAGTGCTACCTGGGTTTTATGCATTTTAGTTCCCATTAGCTTTTTTGAACATGTAGTCAGAATTAAAATCATACCATTTTATAGCCCATTACCCTTTGATCCTTTCACTCTATGCCTAACTCATCAGCCTAAAGAAATTACTTGAAATCCCTGAATGGCCCATGAAAAGAATGCAACCACTCTGCATCAGTTTCATTATCTGAAAAATGGAGAGAAGGGCATGTGACAGAAACTGCAAATTATCTCCCATTCTACTTTTTCATAGTTATAGAACCCCCAAATTTTAGGTGGAGAAGTGATGCCCAGAATGAAGACTGTATTTCCCAGGGTATTTTACAATTGTTTATTGTTATAAGATTATGTTGGGGTAATGAGATGAATGTGGAAACTTGTAAGAACCCACATAAGATGAGCTATTGAGTTCCCTATGTCTCCTCTCCCGTTGTCTGGGATATGGATGTGATGGCTGGAGCTGGAGCCAACATCCTGCACCATGAGGATGAAGGCCGCAACTGGCTTCTAGAGTAGTTGGCTAAAGGAGACTGGGACTCCTGAGGTTTTGTGAAGAAAGGAAAAAAAAAATTACTCTGTATAAGCCACTGTTGTTAAAGGTCTCTTGCAAGCAGTGGTACCTAACTGATAACACTGCATACACTTAAATATTGTCAACTACATTAGATGGGCTAACACAGGTAAAAGCGCTTAGAACAGTAACTGAGAGTAGAGTAAGCACAGAGTAATATTCATAATGTTATACAACTCCCATGCTTTGGTAAGGTTGTTCCTCTGTCTGGCGGTTCGTTTGATGAGC